ACGCATAAAAAATTATATTCAATGTTAGCTAAATTTATTGAGTAAATAAAAAAAGTTTGTAATCAATTAAATAAAAGATTTGATAAAACATTATATAATGTGAATCATATTATGTACAAAGTTTTGATTAATACTGTTATCGGACGTGTTGTCTAAATATATGATATTAAAGTCTAAACAGTTAGGGTATGTCTATGAGATAATGATAGGTATGATATATATAAACTCAGACATCAACCGAAAGTGATAGTATTGATAATTAATAATTTATGACATTTACACTCAAATATAATGGCAAGTGTTATATAAATAACTATTAATAACACACAAAACTGATGTCTTTCACTCTTTGTTATCATCACTTGGCTTATCAATAATGACTTCAATTGGATGATTGACATCATTGACATCGGTTTTGTTGCGATCGACAACACCTGCAATGTCTATGTTATTAATTATGATTTCCTGTAATTCCTCTTCAGATAGTATAGGCGTATCGGATGTCTGAGTTGTTGGATCTTCCATAAGATTCATCCAGTTTTCTTGCGGTGGACTTGTTTTTGTTTTCAGATACATAAGCGACGAATAGAAAAATAATAGGATAGCCAACGCTATCAACACTAATCCCGATATCAATATAACATATCCGAAGGTTAGCGACATTTTGGCGTTGCTTTGGCGCACATCAGACTCGGTCGCAGCTCTCATATAGTTCTCGGCATATGTGGTCACCATAACACCCGACAACACCAAAAACATACCTAAAAACATACTACCGATACAGTATTGACACGAAAGATACACTTTTAGTAAACGAGAGTCTCCTGTTATGAACTGAGTCCGAAATAAACCGTTTCCACTCATTACTTATAAAAATTAATTTACAATTTCTATATAAATAAATATTATATATATATTAAAAATTAATAAAATAATTTTGTTTAATTAAATTATATAAAATTTTATTATTATTAATATTAAATGAATTAAGTTTCCAACACATTTTCGCTGATAAAACTGACAAAATATTTTTGTGTTTGTATTGTAACATCACATTAATGTTGTGTTATTTTGTTGTAATGCAGTGTTTAGTGTTATCCTAAAAATGTTGGCAAAAGTTATATAATTTTATTTGAGTTAAATTATTATTAGTAACACTAGTCTAACATTTTACTCTATAATTAGCCATAATTTTATCAGTAGATATAATAATATAAATATATAATAATTTTATCTATTTGATTTGTATCAATAAATTATTTTGATTATAGCTAATTAGTAATTWGTAATTTTAAATTAATTAAATTATTTTGTTAGTTTAAAATATTTGCTAATCAATGTTATATATAATGAGACATTCCTTGAAGTACTCCATATATATTGCAAATAAACTAAAAATATATTTTATGAGACTGTCTTTTGACTAATATTTGCATAATATAATGAAACGATTCACAGTTTGTATAATATATAGACTAAAATCCTAAAATATCTATTTATGTAAATCCCATACAAACAGAAACTATAAATTTCATCAAAATTTATGATTTTTACTAACAAAAACTATTTAATTATTTTAATGTAATTTTTTGTTTGAAATACTTTATTATTATTATTATTTTACTTATTTATCTGAGAATATCAAGTTATCCTATTTTAAACTTTTTAATCAACAATATTAACCTATGATATTTTATTATTTATGGAAAATAAAATATTAAATACAGTACACAATTTTTTACTATTACTAATACCATTACTATTATTTTTACAGATTAATATAAATTAATTTTATACATGAGTACTATATCACAAAAAAAATAAAAGAATATTATTCCTAAATTGAAACCTTGAGCTCATGAGATGCCATTAAAACTCAATACAAAAGTTTATTTTTGTAATATCGTATAAATATATGTTAAAAATATTTTGATGATTTTACAATACTTAACATTTGTTTTCTAAAATATCTTATAACAATATTTATTTTTTTTAATTAAGTAATGTTAAATATTACATCATTATTATAAAATTTTTACAATAAATTAAATATTATTAATTAATATAAGAAATAAAATTTTTAAGAAAAATAACATATATTGATTTTAATTGATTTAAAATAAATTTTTAAACTCCAATAATTATTGACATAATTTTTAGATTAATCATTATATAAATTAGTAGTTGGAATAAATTTTAAGTTGTTTGATAAATGCAATATTTAAATTTTTTATTTAAAAAAAACATTTTAGTATTATATTAATAGCATTTAAAAATAATTCGCATTGTTTTTTATTATTATTATTTTATTACTATATTTTTAAAAAATAATTTAGTTGAACTAATTTTGATTTATTATCTCAACAACATCTACAACAACTCCTAATACTGTATTACCAAAAATAATAATAATCACAATATCTATTAATAGTAGTACAGGTAATACAAAAAAAATCTAAAAGTCTACTATGAATTTTGACATACATTTTAATTTGTTTTTAATATTTTAATTAAATCATTAATTTATTTAGTGATAGATAAAGTGATTAAATTATTGTATATAAATATTGTTATTATATTTGTTTTCTAAATCACAATAAATCAATATCTATTATATTAAATTATGAGTCAATTGGGTCTAAATATGGTATTGAAAATGTGTTTAATACCAAACGATGCTTTACTGTTGGCCAATACTGTAGTTTAATAAAATTATCTAAAGAGATAATATTTAGGCAAAAAATTAACAAAATTTAAGACCAATTCCAGAAAAATTAATTAAAAAATAATTTAGTAAACAATTTTTGCAAAAACTTTTGTTTCAAAATTTTTGTTTACAATAAATTTATTTTAACATTTTTATTTATAGCTGTTTATATTATTTGCTAAAAATATATACAGTATTTATTATATTTGAATTTATTTTCATTCAACATTGATAATATTATAAATATTTAGTATTAAAGTTATTTAAATTAATAAATCAAAATAATATATGATTGCATTTAAAATGTTTTATATTACAGAATTTTTGAGCTTTTTATGTAAAATAAACAATTATTTGGTATTATTATTATATATTAAGAAATTTGTTTTTAAAAATAGTATTTAAGTTGTATTATATATATATATACTGTATATAATATTATATGTAATACAAAATTGGTATATCTATCCATTAACTTGTTTATCATACAGTAATAACAATAATTTGTTGTAAAAGAAATTATTAAATATGTTTTTTGTGAAATATGTTTAACAATTTTTTTGTAAACTTTTAATTAATTTATATTATGTAACAAATGTTTTTAATTGTATTATTTTATCTATATAAAAATTGGCAAAACATTGCTAAAATATATTTATATAAATAAAAATTGCAAAATAATTTTGTATTATTATTTATAATAATTATTTTCTGTATATAATAACTAAGTTAATAAAACATATTTATATGGATGTAAAAGTTAATTTAGTTTTATTTAATGTTAACTTCACTATTGYCTAATAAGTTTGTATTTTAAACTTTTGTCWRATAAACACAATAAGTTTAAAGTTGTAATAATTAAATTTGATGTTTATAGCAATGCTAAGCACAGTTATGTGCCAGACATCAGCTCCATGTCAATCATGTAATGATGTTGGTCAACCCTGCTTAGTTTATTCAAACACTTGCTCTATTAAAATAATAATTCAATCAATTGAGAAAAAAATAGCGCTAGAGATCCTCATTTTAGTATTATGGGTAATACTAGAGGTCCTGTACTACTACTTGACATTAGTTTACATTTGATATCTATGGTAACTAAATATTTGGTCATTAAAATAAATTGAGTTATCATATTTATTGCTATTAAGCTATTGTGTAAGCAATAAATATGATAACGTAATTTAAGAGTAGTGTAACTGATTTGGGTGAGACTTGTGTCGTATAATATTACTTTGCAATAGTATTGTAGTCGAAGGGGTTGTTGTAAAGGGTTGACCTGTTATCACAAAAATAAACAAATTGCAGATCTTTAGGGAATATGTCAGACATGTAAGCAATGATACTAAATATATTAAAATTTTATTAATTTTCTAATTTTTCTATTTCCCACCGACTCCTTGTAAAACTAAGTGTTTACTTTCCAGTAGTAAATGTAATACCAATCTCCAGGAGCCGACACAATGTGCGCCATWTAGTTGTTGTCGKGCACTACATGTGCTAGAAATAGAAAAACTCAAAGTATTCGTGTCAATCATTAATTGTTCCCTAAKTTATAACTAATAAATATTTAAGATATTATAATATAGACTAACAAAAATAAAACATGAAATTTTAAKTTCGAGTTTGATCTCARACTAAGTTAAATCTCAAGTGTTAGTGACATCAACTTTATTCCTGTAAAGTTAGCCAAACAGCTATTGTTTATATTAATAAACAAAATTAAAAAATTGGTAAAGCCATCAAAAAAACCGGAGACATTGAAGACCTCCATTGATCAAGACCTTCAAATCCTTCAGACCAATTGGATCAATATCCCGACGAAGCTTTCCGAAGGCGGTTTAGAATTACCAATGAGTCATTTCACGAACTCCTTGATATCCTAAAGCCGGATCTGGTCTCCGAYACAATAGSCCAACCCGTTCCTCCCGAAAWAAGCTGCTGCTGGCCCTCCGATTCTATGCCACCGGTTCCATGCAACAGGTAACCGGTGATACAATAGGACTGTCTCAGCCGACGGTCTCGAGGATCGTAACCCGAATTTCCAAATTAATTGGTAGATTGTATAGACGATTCATTAGATTTCCGACGAATGAAAATTCGTCAGAAACTATGAAAGGCTTTTAAAATCTACTCATTGGAGAGCCGACGGCAAAGTCCATTCCYCGGTGTTATCAGMGCCATAGACCACACATGTGAGTCTTTGCGCCTGGTGTGGCAAACAGAGAGGCCTATCGGAACCGTAAAGATCTGCTCACGATCAACATTACTTTTGTTTTTCTCTCTAAATTTGTCAGTATTTGAGAAAAAACAATGATATATCTTTAGCATTTGACGGTATTTTTTGGCCAACACTTGTCATAGCGCGTGATATTAGTCTATTGCGTCCTAAAAATCGAGTTAACCATCCATTTGATGCGCAAAACTTTTGATTCAATTGGTTATCATAAAACTCAATCGCTTTAAATTTGAGTAACTCTGAAGTCACCGCAAGTTTGTTATGTCTTTGATCTGYGAACCAATTCATGAGTTTGTTTTCCATTTCGGGAAATTTCGTGATTCTTGTCTTAAGTTTTCGTCTGCGAAGACGTACACTGACTTCTTTGTTGTTTACAAGTTCACGAAACTCTATTTCTTTACGAAGCCATCTGATTATGTTTTGTCTCGAATTCGTGATCTTTMTTGCAGTTTGTGATACATTTTCGCCATTATTTCGGTGCCAATCAATCGCAGCTAATTTGTCTTCGATGGTAAAACTGTTATATCGTTTATGTTTTTAATAGCATTTGTATTAATAACTTCAGAGACAATTGGTTTATCATTATATGATATAACATCACTTAACACTTTATCATTAGAAGTGTCTTCACTCGAGGATAGACTGATCAAACATTCAGTGGTAGTCATGATTTTCCCACACATATACAGGAAATGGATATTTAGTTTAAAAACTATTGTTTTTCTGTAGTCATTCAGTTTTTAGCTTATTTTACAGTTTTTGGTACATTTTATAATACATTAATATAAAATCATAAAATAGTTTACTGTTTCTTACTTTACTTTAAAAACAGCGTACAATTACCCGGATAATGGTACACCCCTTTTCCTAAATTCAATTAATGATAAATGTATGATTATACTGTGTAAAAGTGTACTTTTTATATACAAATTATTGTTTTTATAAATAAAAATAAAATAATCTGAATATTTAATCTTATTATTAATTAAAATAATTACAATATTTTATAAGTATATGTAAAAACAAATATGAATGACCTTAAATAGTAACACCTGTATAGATAAACAATTGTTGGTTACATAATATTTTAAAAATAATATTTACTTAATTATTAGTAACAATTCAATAATTTTAACTATAGATTTTTTTAAAGATATTTTTTTATAAAATAAAAATACTAAAACTAATAATCTGAAAAAATTACATTTTTTCTTTACTAAAATCTCTTTGTTAACTATTATATTTAATATTAAATAAAATTTTATTGATAATGACAAGTATAATCTACAATTATAAATTATTAATCAAAATTTTTATTTTAAAAAACATTACAACATAATTTATCATTTACTTATAAATAGTATATAAAAATCACATTTTCTTAGTATTATTTATTTAAAATAAAAGTTTAATGACATAAAAATAAGTTAGAAGAGCAGTAAATAATTAAAAAGTCAGATATTAGATATATTTAGTAAATTTTGTTTATATTTATAAATTATTTTTTTCAAATCTATTGTTTATACTAATAATAAACATTTTGTTATTTAAATATAAAATATATAAATAATAAAAATATGATATTGTATTGTATTGTATTGTATTGTATTGTATTGTATTATATTTATGTCGAAACTAGAATTCATATAAAACCTTGAAATGGGTATCAAATAACTGTTATCATGTAATTTAAACTTATTGTGACTTAACGTAAATAAAAACACGAAATTTTGCTAAAAATAGATATATTTATGAAAAATAGTATTTTTATTGTGGAAAATAACAACAAAATTGCAAACGACCTGTCATTTTATTTTTAATAAATGAGTTTATTAGCAATTTATTTTAAAAGTAAGTTTTTATTTTAAAAGTTATTTTATTTTAACAATAGTTTATGAAACAACACATTGTCAAGTCTATAGAAACAAATATAACAATATTAGTTATGATTGCCATAATTACAATATTTTTTGTTTCAATAACATTAAGTAAGTAAAAAATTATTTTATAAATTAGATTAAAATGAATTATTTATAGATAATGGTCAGTCTATTGAGTCGACTGTGCAATTATGTCGCAATGTTAACCAAACGTGTGCCCAAAGTCCACAATACCAGTGCTGTTTAGGTCACCAATTGCTTTGTGTCTATGATATGCCCCAAAAACCCGAGTCTATTGGAGTTTGTTTAAAAACATGTAGTAAAATGGGTGCCATTTGTGGCGGTTTTACGCGTGACCCACAAGTTTGTTGTGAAGGTTTAAAATGTGTTTATACTAATCATGAATTACCTGATTTACCCGGATTATGCCAATTCAATTCAACTATTTTTTAATCAATTATATAATATATTTAAGTATATATTTACAAATTTACAGCTTTTTTAATACAATGTTTTAAAATTAATTAATAATGTTGAATTTTAATATATTGTAAATATAAATATTATATTAATTTATAAATAATTTAATTGATAATTGTTATTTAAATATTGTAATCTTTTTATTACGCCAATTAAATGTTATTGACTTTACTGATTAAATTTTCAATTTTAATATTATTATTATTATTTTTTAAGCTATATTACAAGGGGATGTTAATAATAAAATAAAATACTAAAAATGATATAATTAAATAAATAAATTGTTTGTAAATATTTGTTAATTTGTCTATAAGTTTACTAAACTTGGTTTTGTCCTTTCATAACATATAAATTATTTTTAATATTAATATATCATATTATTATTATTACAGCTTATTCACTGTATATAACTTTCACTATTTATATTAATAGTAAATTACCTGTTTTATATAACAGTTTAAAATAGTCACACCTAACAAACATAAATGACAACTATTACTATTACTATTACAACTATATTAATATTAATTTTAAATCTATAAATAGTTAAAACTTTTATAATAATTGACATTTGTTTTGAAAATGTTGTACATCGTGACTATAGTTTTAATTTTATCAAATTTAAGTCTAAGTTTATCTAAAATACATTACAGTGTAAGCACTGTTAGTCTGAATGCATTTAAGTTAGGAGAAGGTCCGCATTGGGATGATAGTCGTCAGGTGCTATGGTTTGTTGACAGCAATGACTATCAGGTCTGTCAATTGAATGTCAGCACAAAACTGAGTGAATGTCATAAGTTTGACGATTTGATAAGTTTGGTTCATCCATATGATAATGGAGATGACCTATTGGTGACCATACGAAACAAATTGTTACGATTTAACTGGACATCCAAAGAAGGTTATTATGTGGCACAAGTAGCCCCTCAACTCAATGGTAAAGAAAGATTCAATGATGGAAAAGTAGATGCTTTGGGACGGCTATGGATTGGAACAGTATTGGAGGGCAAGAGTGGGGTTATTAAGGGTAAAGGAAACCTTTATAAGTGGGAAAACGGATCGTTTGTTAAGATGTCGGACGGATTTTATCTCACAAATGGCATGACTTGGAGTCCGGACAACAAACAAATGTTTATCAATGACTCTGAGGATCGCAAAGTATATGCATTTGATTTTAACTTAGAATTGGGAACAATATGTATGTAAATCAATGATTATTATACTTTTTGATTAATAATTTTATTATTTTCTTTTAAAAAAAGCAAACAAAACTATTTTAATTGACGGCAATAATAGCACAGATTTGACTGTCAATGATTATCCGGACGGACTAACAATTGATAGATCGGGCTATTTATGGATCGGTTCGTATTCAAACGGTAGAGTATTTCGTGTCGACCCTCAAAATGGAGATGTTGTAGACTCGGTGTCCATTCCCTGTCCATTAACAACAACCCCAGTGTTTGGTGGACTCAATTTTGATGAAATGTTTGTCACAACGGGTTATTTAAACGGCGATTCCGATCAGCGATTAAAATATCCGACCTGTGGTCAAGTGTATCGTATAGTCGCACTCGACTCCAATCAATTTGTCGGCGATATTATGTTTACAATAAAAAATTAATATTTTATTAGTAATTATAAATAATTTAATTTTTATACTAATACTAAAAAAWTGTGATTTGTTTATTTTTCACAAACATTTTGCTATTTAATAATTAGTTAATTAAAAAAAATTAGTAAAATTTAGAATATAATTATTAGATTCTGAAGTAAATGTTTTTATTAATAAATAAAGACAATTGAGTGTCTTATAGGATCATAAGTGGTATATAATTAATATTGTTGTGATATTATGTTATTTAATTGTTTTTGTGTCAATATTATAACTTTTAATGTTTTAATATTGTATTATTATCTTGCAAAATTGAAATTATAAATTATTTAATATTTTTTGCATTTACCGGTAATGTTACAGTAATACAGTAATAACATTAAATACAAATTATATCAAAATTATAGATTTATTCATTATATAGTCACAGTATAGTACAGTAAGTGATAATTTAAATTTTAAATACAAGAAACTACAGGCAAAATATTGTCTAAAGTGTGTTTTCCTCTGATAGATATCGTATAATTCAATTAAATATTGTATTAGATTACATAATATATTCAATATGTATTTAAGTGTTATGTCAATCAATATTTAGCGAATGAATAATAGTGTTTTTCGGCGTTTTTCATTTTCTCAAAAAATACAAAAATTCGGGAAAATCGAGAAAAATAATAGGCGTTAATTATTCAAAATGTTGCCATATTTCTATAAATATTAAATTCCCGACAATTTAATGAATAATAACGTTTCGGGTATAAGAAACATAGCTCTAGTAATAATATATATATATAAAATTATAGATATATATATAGTACAATATATATATAAGTGATAATTTATATATAGAAAGTGTGTATCAATTATATATAAGTTTAATATATATATATAGTATAATATATATATAGTATAATATATATATAGTATAATATATATATAGTATAATATATATATAGTATAATATATATATAGTATAATATAATAATGGGATCTTAGCATAGATTAATAATCTATAAAATTAACTTTTAAGTGTTGTGAGGGTATAAAAGAGTTGGTTAGGAAACAGGGCTTAAATAGTATGAGAATAGACTCTAATATGCATTTAATCTAAAATTATAGCATTAAACACGTGTTATGTTTTATTAAAAAATTAATTTTATAATTAATATTAATTGTGTTAGAAATGCGTAACTCATTTGATGATCGCATATGCGATGACTTGTGTGAAGTGATTGTAAGTTATCTCTCATTTACCGATAAAATACGATTTGAATGCATTTCAAAACAATTCAAACGATGTGTTTATCAAAATCAGTTCAAACTTGTTGTGACGATATCTAACAATGTCTATAATCATGTCTTTAATGGCGGGTTTATGTTACACGCAATAGAGTAAGTAGTTTATAAAATTATTAATAATTATATATATATATAATATTGTCATAAATAGCAACAATAGATTCAAAAAGTGGGAATTAGTATTAACAGATGAAAATGCATTGAAGATATTGTTGATAAAGTGTCGATATTTAAGAGAATTGGTTTTCATTGGATACCCAACTAATAATATGATTAACATTATTGTCAATGAATGTGATTATCTGAAAGCAATTGACATCAATTTTTGTAATATTAATCAACAAACTTATGATAATTTCATGAATAAATTTGGATCAAAAATCCAGAAACACGGATATTATGACAATAAGTATTACGAATCAAATTTCAACGGAAAATATCTGAAATCAATGCCAAATATGAATGAAATAAATTTATTAAATTCTTCATATTTAATAAATTATTTCAATGGACAAGAAATYTATTTCAAACAATTAGAAAAACTAGTGTTTTGGTTATCAGACTGTGATCTCAAAATCATTGAATGCATTATAAATAATAATAAAAATACTCTAAAATGTGTTGATATATATGTCTGGTCTTTCAGTGAGTATTGCATTAAATGGATGTTTGAACAGTTGTTTAAATTAAAAGGATTACAACAATTAAAGTTTGATGGATATAAATCACCCCTTAACTGGTGGTTAACCACTTATACTCATAATAGGATAAACTATTCAATTGATGCTTATTTACAAAGACTGTCCAAAATGTGTCCAAATATCAAATCATTGGAAATACGTTTGCTTTTTCAAGAGTTGTCTTATTGTTTGCCTATATATAAGACAATCAAACACTTCTCACAATTGAAACGATTGACAATTGAGTTATTTAACAGTGGAATGAATGACATTAATAATAATATTTTAAATGACTTAACATTTGATAGCAATTTATTAACACATTTGGCTATAAATATTGAGACAATTGGTTTCAAATTATTTGATAAAATACTCCGACATTTAACACGACTTCAATCACTCTCATTGACTAATATATCGTCAATACATTATTTGTCACAACTATTTAAACTGTCGTCAATTGAAACACTTTTATTGGATTTTAATGAATCACTTCTTTGTCCCGAAGAGATGATATACATTGAAATGAATTATATTAATTGCTTTATATATAATATTATTAATAATAATCGAAAATTTATTTCTTTTCAAATATTTATCAATAGTTTGAAATTTCTAGAAATATAGCAAACTGCAAATAAACTGCTATAAAAATATATATTAAATGTTATATAATAAATACACAATTAAAATCATAAAAATATTAAATTAAAAATCTAAAATAATAATATAAAATTAATTTTAATAGATTATTAAATATTTGACTAAAATTTATTAAAAATATTTGACTAAAATTTATTAAAAATATTTTGTTAATATTTTTGTGTAAATATTTATCTTTTGTAATTTATTAAATAAATAATTTTTAAATAAAATGTATTGTGTTCTGTAATTGATTATAGTTAATTTAAAATTGATAAAATTAACATTATACTGTATAATACCTATGATATAGTTATTTGATTAGTAAAAATCATACCTGAGTAAATACAATATTATTAAATTTATTAGTGCATTATAAAAAATAAATAAAATCAATGTTCAGCCAATCAAATAAATTTCATGATTTAAAATCAAACTAATCTTTTTGACCACAATGTAAACAATTTGTTCAAAAATGTGTTCAACTATTTAATCAATGTTTTACAGCATATTTTGTAAAATTAATTCCGTATTTTACACTTACATTTTTAAAAATTTATTGGTATTTTTAATTTTTTATAATATCACTTGTCATTAAATAAATATAAATAAAATGATATATAAATAAATATCAATTACAATTATTTTATAGTTGTAAAGCTATTTTTATACATCAATTTTTATACAACTAAATTTAATTTAATTAAGATTAATTGTTGAATAAGATATTATAATGAATCTAACAATTTTTTTATATTATAATTTGAACAAATTAAAAGTTTATATTATATTAATAAAATTGTTGCTGATCATTTCTGGTAATTAATTAAACAATTTAAATTTAAATTTAATTAAAGTATTTTCAGATTTGTTAAAATAACTAATGTTATTGTTATTATACTATAGTTAAAAGTGATCGCAAAGAAGATCTAAAATGTGTTAGCGATGGCAGTGCGACACTCAATGGTTTAAATGATCAACAATTGCTTGAATTGGCACAAAATAATCTACAAAAAGGCAATCAATTGGTTAATTATAGAGTCGACGCTGAAAAAGACAACTTTCCCTGTTATTACAAATTTTATGAAAAATATTTGAAACAATTATCAAATATTCTTCAAACTGGTCTCAAGGATAGGTTAGCGAAGGCTAGAAATGCAAAAGAAAAGTCAGCGGCTATTAAAGCAATTGCAGGATTGAGTCAAACAATGATTTGCGATGAAAACTGGAGAGCAAAACATATCAATACACCGGTTAAGTGTAACCAACCAGAAGCTAACGGTGCAAACAATAAAGAATTCAATACATTGTTTGGTGTACTAAAAGGTTCTCTCGGTTTTGGTGTATTCACCCAAAAGATTAAAAATCAGGCAATGGCTGCAATCATTAGTGATGTATAATATATTATATCTAATTTTTATATCATATTTCTATTATACTGTATTAATAATAATTTTATTGTATGTAAATGTTTGAATTATTAGGTAAGAAAACTATATATCAATTTATATGAAGAGGGAAAGGTATGTTGTAGTCGACAGTCTGTGGCTAACAGGTGTCAGTGTTTGAAGAAGTTTGTCATTGAAATACAACGACTTATTTATTTGGGTAGTCTATCAATTCAATTAAAATATATGCAATCATTAACATAATCAATTTATAAACATTTATTAACTATATTTATTAATTGTAATGTTTAAATATTTATTTATATATATAAAAAAAATCTATTTTAACAATTTTATCACATTATTAAAAAATTATGATTTTTAATGTCTAAATTATTTTGCAAATATTTATTACTAATTATCCATTAAATCAAATAAATTAAAAAATCTTTCCAATTCATCGACGAGTATCTTAAGATTAGGACATCTGTCGGACTTTCTCTGTCTGGACACACATGACTTGGCCTCGCCGTACATCTTGCTATAGATCTGTAGATCCTATTATCAAATGAATTATTTGATTTAATTAATATTTAATTGATATTTAATAATATTATCATAATATATATGAATAAATACATAGTTAATGATTCCATCGATAACTTTGTTTTTATTTGAGTCCATAATGCCTCCCAACCACATCCTTCCTCTTAATATATTAAATAATGAGTTGAACTTAGCCTCAACTGATCCCATTTCCTCCATACGAGTGCAATCAATGGAGTCATTGATGTGTTTCAATCGGTGCTCTTCATCGCATTTCATAACCTGAGACATAGCAGCTATGGATGCAATTGCGTCAGACTTTTCATTTTGTGTCGAAGCCTTTGCCAGTCTGTCCTTCAGTTCGTCGGATATCTGTTTGAGAGCATTGCCATACTTTTTGGTGAAATCATAATAACAGTCCAATTTGGTGATCTGATTGCGCTTCTGGATCATA